GGGGGAATTGTCCGGGGGGGGAATTTTCCGGGGGGGGGGGGGAATCGTCCTAGAATCTGTTTAATTTTATACTCATCAGCGTTAAAGAGGTAGTTCATAGGTTTGGAAAAAAGTCTCAAGAGACAATGCAAACCAAAGGACCCCCAGCATAATTACGATCACCTTTGTCAGTTGGGTAAGTGACATCAGGGGGGTCTGCCCACCGTGACAGCCAGTGCCGCCGTCCTCTCGTGTACTAGCCTCGTGTAGACTGGTGTCCGATGGGAACTTACGCTGGGGCCGTTTGCAACATCGGTATAAACACTTCCGTGAAAAATATAGGAGTATTTGAGTTTTAACATTTCATGCTTATAAAGAAAAATGACACATTATTGGCATTTCCATCATGAAAAAACACGTATTTAACAAGATTACTCTTTATTAAAATCTTTATAAAAGAAACTGAAATGCGAGACCTGGAATGTGATTGGTTCTTTATTAAGTCGAAAGGTGACAAAACAAATCAGTCTAGTAAACCTTAATAAAATGATCTAAAATCAATGAATAAACAGTTCACGCACAGCGTTTTAAAAGTACATCTAACTAAAATGACAAGCTCCTCACCGTAAACGGAAAATACCACGCCTCTGCTACGGCGTCGGTCCCCGGAAAGACCCGACTGAGGTACCATATGCACAACATATACAGTACTATATCCACCACCAGGGCCAACATCACGTCCATCATTGAGAAGTTGTCCCCAAACGTGGTCGGATCCATGACATTGTCCCAGCGTATACCTAAATGTAAATGTAAATCAGACCCAAAAGTTATCCTACTGTACAAACAAATAATAAAAATGAATACATAAAAATAATAATGAATGAAATATGTTGGTTTGCTAACTGGGAAGATCATCTCCCTTTAGGATGTAGACAGATGTGTATTCAACTTAACAGTCTCAGTCGTAGAGAACCATCGGTATATGTTGAACATAACATTAAAGAAGAAGAGAACGAGAAGGGAGTCACGTGTACCGATTGACCGCATCCTCCAAAACCCAGCCTGGACTTATACTGTAGTCTAAAATTTACTGCCCACACAAAAATAATTTACCCTGATTAAGCGGAGACCGACAATAGCATGCAACCTGCAGGAAGCCGATCTTCAGAGCACAGTTTGGCAGGAGACAGAGAATACTCTTCTGAGCCCTGCTACACGACAGGTAGAATAGCGGCATGCTGAAGCACGCTGGGGACAGGTAGGCCACCATACAGAATGCTATAGCGGCGACTAGATAAGAGACAATAGCCAAAGGATATAAAAATAAGTTCATTTATTATAATTTGAATCCAATATTTAAAAGTTCATCAAAAGGTTTAAAAAATCTTGCTAGGTAAAGATTATTATTTTGATAGAAGTGAGTTGATGTTAACTTAAATGAACTAATTCCCTATTAACCTGTATTCCAATTTTTTTACTCAATAAAAAACAGATTACAATGCAGCTTATTATTTACTACTTACTAGTACAAATGGTGTACACTTATTTTTTTTTCGGTGTGAACACTTTGGCATGTTACAATTGATTCAGATGAGGTCAAACTGAAAATGGATATTAACCTAAAATACCTCGCTATAATTTGGTCATGCCATATATAACTTTACCAGTTTTCAACTCCATTACAAGTGTGTCCGACAATTTGAATTTTAGAACTTGAATGAAGGTTCTACCATCGCGATTTTTTCTCAAAACTTTGGATAGCAGAAACCTATGTAATTTTTATTCTCTTTAAAGGGGGCGTTATTGAGAGATGCAGAAAATGTCGCATTTGCAATATAACGGTCTTTAATGGCAATTATCCTTTTAAGAATAACCTCATGTGAACGCATTTCTGGACACTCACTGGTGGAATTCAGCGTGCTGCACAGAAAACACAGCATGATGGACGCAGTGACGTAAAGGTATAAGAAAACCAACGTTAACGAAGTGTCTATGAGGGCGGACAGGCTGCCGGCGTTCCCGCCTTGCCCAAATGGATAGGCATGAAGTGAGAATAAAGCAGCGATCGTAATAGGAACGAAAAAGAACGGAGCCGTGTAAATGAACCACGAGAGCCAGTAAACTTTCTCTGATACACCACATGTCTTCAGTAAAACCTGAAATGAGCAAAATTTGGACGTTTTGATACTTTATGGATATAGCTATAATAAAGGCCGTTAAATCAGTGCTATTCATACTTTTATGTAATATTTATTATACTTAGAATCAAGGGCACATCACTTCAGTAAAACCCAAAATATCCCATTTTGAAGTTTGTATATATTTTAATGTTTACCTTAACAGAATTGTTATTGCTGTGCAGTACTTGAGAACCAAGGGGATTTTTTGACACAAACATCTTCAGCATGCTTACTCACTTTCAGGCCCGTTTCTTTCTCAAATGTGATGTAGCGCGTGATTTCCAGCACCAACATTGTATACCCAAATATAAGGAAGGCGGCCATAGTTTCAGAGTAATATCCCAGCGCAGCTTTTAAGTATCCACTAGTTTTGTGCTGAGGCATGGGGAATTTCTTAAGTGCCACTTCAAGTTTTTCATATTTGTGGGGCTGTGTCCGAGGTAGGAGATCCATCAACGTCCTGTCCACGGCATTCTGGACAGTCAGAAAACCATTTGAATCATATTCTAATAAAAAAGAAAAAATGCTATGACTCAATAGTCAATAAACATTATGAATGCTGCGATTACTTAAACAAGAGCCTTTTTAAGCAACAGATATATGGAACCTCGTTTTAGGAAAAAGTCTAATGTATGGATTCCTATACATCCTTTATGACTGAACGCTTTTCTGTTTTTGAAACATGCCAATGTCTCAATTAACATAAGTAGTTAATTATTGATTACACGAGAAAACACGTTGAGGGAGCAGGGGCGGATCCAGGATTATTGGAGGGGGGTCCGTTTTTTAGGAATGAAATACCTCGGATACAAAGCCGACCCTCGGCCCCCTTGGCGTCGGGTTCGGGTGCCCCGAAAATTGGGTGTTTTGGAGGTACAGCGGAACGGTGCCATTTGGTACGGTTTAGCACTATGGTTCAGCTAGTCAAAGTTCGAGTTTCAAGCGGGGAATATTAGTGTAATTTTTTCAGAAACCGAAGGAGGGGACCCCCAAATCCGCCACTAAAGATCTAGAGGAAGCCAAGAGTATTAAACTTCTTTAACCTTAGGCCTAACTTTTTTTAAAGAGAAAAAAAACTGTAATTAATTAATTAATATTAATTATAATGAATATTTGATAACCTGGCCCTGCTTCGAAATAAAACGTCCGCACAATATTAGTCAACCAAGCTCTTGTTTGATGAGGTGCCGGTTGGGAACGCAATCGGATGGTGTACCCAAACCTTGGATTCGGCCTGTCATGTGAAAAAGCGTCGTCTTCAAATATGATCCCTCCGACGAAGCCGAACACGTCTGCCTCTTCCTGAAACCTTCGGAGCAACACGGAGCTGTTTTCCATATTATAAACTAAAAATCAAGTTTGATCTACTCGTTTACAATAGAAATAATTTTCAAGCAAAATACACTCAATGGAACAAAATTCTAGATTGAATCAATACTATAAGAAGCTATGGGTAAACACTAATACCAAGGGTATTTGTGACAATTTAAATCATGCTTCTCGTTGTGTTCAATATTGCAATTTATAGCACATATGATTAGGCATACTGTTACAGTATCCGAATAATCAATAAATTGTGAAGTACGCCCTATCCCATTACGTTTCAAACAACAGTTACTTAATATTGAGAATCTGGACTTACCATTAAAAAACTGCCCAGCGCGTGAGCACCTAAGCTCCATTTGTAACTTCCACCGAAAATCCTCTGGAACCCTGCCACCGCGGCTCGTCTTCGGTGTAACTCCCAGCGAAAGATAATACGACCCTGGGGCATGAACTCCAGGGTATATAGGTACCCGTTGGGATGGAAACGTTTGATTACCCGCAAAATAAACCTCCGGTTCTATCTGCAGGGTGAGTCTGAATGCCAATAAGGTACTTCCGCTGACGACCATCAGCAACAACGTTATGATGGTGCCGAGTTTGTTGCGGCGGACATACTGGAGACGCAACCACAGGAGCTGGCGTAAGTGGAGTAGAAAAAGCATGGCGGAATCTCTCTGTGGCAAAACCAGTTCTGCAACAATCAAAACACTCATTTGTGTTAAAACTAAATTAAATAATCAATAACTTTCCTCTTGTACATGTACCACAATTCTTTATCGAAGGAAACTTGCAGTTCATTGAAGCACCTGCTGATAAAAGCGTACCAACAATACAACGGTCTTCACGCCATTCGGCAGATAACATGTTTAAAGCATCATCATTGAAACCAAAGTAAGTTATTTGGCTATGAATGGGACAGTTGTTAAATAATAAAGTTGTTAATAATGAAATGAAATAGAAACAGACTCATAGAAAAGAGAAAAATCACCATGTTTCTGTCAGGATTTGTTAACAAGCAAAAATAGAATGACGCGGCCTTTGTCCCATGATAAAGATCATCACCCTTTTCTTTATTTTTGATCTTGGAGCTGGTTTAACGCAACAAAAACCATAATTATATATATATATATATATATATATATATATATATATATATATATATATATATATATACATTTCAAGTGTATATTGGCCGCTTGTAAGTTTACTAACCAGATGTTTCTAAATCTGATGCACATATGATAAAGATAAACTATTTGACAGATAACCTTCATTTTTCGATATTGTATCAGTGATTGTGTGTGTGCCCACGATTTTGCCCTACAGAGTGTAAGGGTTTGTTACAATTTGTCCGTATCTACGTGCACAAACGTGTACGATACGCAATAGCGGAACGACAAGGATCACGTTCTCGTCTCTCTAAATCCCCATATTACCTTTTTGTTTCACTAGTGCTCATGGCGCTGCAGGCTATACTTTCAAGAATGTACCAATATTCTTGAAAGTAACACTAAAGCCTAGGTCCCAACTACGTTTTGGACGCACGGTTTTTAGGTTCCTTGCGTCCAGCTAGGACGTAGCTAGATCGCACGTAGCGGCTGTTGATCATGTCGACAAGTTTCTACGTGCTGTTTGCGTCCTCCAAAAGTCGCACGATGGACGTGCTCCTCACGCACGAACTCCTTCCCGATTCCTTCCCTGCGATCTAGCTACGTCCTAGACGGACGCAAGGAACCTAAAAACCGTGCGTCCAAAACGTAGTTGGGACCTAGGCTTAAGACATTCTCAGGGATTTGCGACGATCCAAAATATTTTAAAGGTACAATATGAGGAATTGTGCAATAAAAAGTATATGAAACTGAGCCTCATTGCGTTACTATCCTTTCCTTTTGAATACTGGGATACTTGTGACATATCAACTTCAGACCCCTCCGTTTGCTTGTTTCTTTGGAAAAAAAAACCCTTACATACTGACATGGCCAAATACATGTACGCTCACCTCGGAGGCGTTTCGCGAAGCAACGAGTCTCATACAAAGGGAATTTCAGTAATCGAAATATTGGTTATCAGCGACATTCCACTGAATTCACTTACTCACGATAACATCCTGTGATTACCACGTAGACGTCGGTCCAAAGCCTCTTCCTTACTGTCTCCAACACAGTCGCTCAACAGGCACGAAAGCAGAACCTTTATCACGGCTCAAAATTGTCCTTCGCTATCTCGCGTTATCTAGTCACCCTGATTTTCAGAGATTACCGACCTTATATTTAAGGCCCCATTGTCATATACCCCATTCCCATACCTAGATCGATCTACTAGGATCGACCCATCTCCGAGGGGTTTTATTATGTGAAGTGACCGAAATTGTCTGTGAATTATTAAATGTCTCCGACATGATGAAACGTCGTAGTCTATGTTGCCGCCCGGCGGCAAAGATGGCAACATATATTGTATACAAAGACAGACGGCAGAAAACGGTAACTAAGCAACCTTTCTATTTCATTCATTACGCATGCGTAATGGCAGAGTACAAACTGTATTTAAAACATTTTGGTTTATTGAACAACAAAGGATACTTATTACAGGGCCATTGTTTATTAAAATAAAATAACGACGAAAAACAATAAAAGGCCTGAAAAACATTTCCAAGATAAGTTTGCATATAACAATTTTGACTAAGAAAGCAAATTTAAAATTACTTTAGAACAAGAAGTGCCATATAAAGATTGGTATTTATTCTCTTTATAACTTTTTGGTATGTTTAAAGCCATGCCATGAAACAAAATCACTAAAAAGAAAGAAGGGGAAAAAGCACTTAAAAGGTAGTCCTCATTATACACCTTCACTCAGCTATCCATATCAGCATTGTTCTTCAAAGGTTGCGCAAGGTTTCCAATACGTATTGCCCTTAGCTGACAGCGGTAAGATCAGTGTCTCCTATTGGCTGCCGTTCAATGAAGAAGGAGTTATAGCGAACATTCTTCAAGCATTCAAAGGCACACGGTGGCCTGGCTTGCGGAATCGAACTGACTGCCGCTTGAGTACAAAAACGTCCTAATGCTATTATATACTTTCCTCTGTTTTAGAAAATTTAACAATTGCTTTTACAGGACCAAGGGTAAAGACTCCATGCATTTTTTTTTTTTTTTTTTTTTTTTTTTTTTTTTTTTTTTTTTTTTTTTTGCTTCACAGCTATGCTGAAAGCCTGTGTTTTTACTGGTATTGTTATTTGTTAAATCTCGCCTTACATTTGAAACTCTTTAAATTAAACCATACCGGTTTATAATAGGCCTATAATTTGCATTACATTCTTAGAGCACAGGATTATTAACACGAGGAACTCTAAACTCTTTCAGCCAAATATACTTCCATTCTTTCAAAAAAAAAAAAAAAGGATTTAGTAGGTCACAAACAACCCGTGTCCTCAAGGATATTCATGTTTGAATGCTTTTGATAAAAATCGTACAGTTCACTCACTACTTGGCGCAATGATATCCCATTCCACCCTCCCAGCCTTAAACTGTCTTACTTCAAGTATATGGACAGATTTCGGTCGGCAATGGTGGTAACTCAGCATTAACTCCTAGCTGTCCGATGACGCGACCTTGCCCAAACTGGCTGTCTCTTCCCTCCCTTTGACCAAAAAGGATATGGAGAGATTGCAGTCAAGGATGTTCGGAGTGTCAGCGCTCTGGTTAATGCCGAAAGGGTTGGAGAGCATTCACATCGAGAAGAGCCGAGGTCTAGTAAGGCCGAGACCTAAATATGGAGGACTTACATGAAAGGAAGGCCGCGTAATCCTTTATGGTCTCTCAATGACATTCACTGACATTCATTCATTCATTCAAATACAGATACAGTGACTGGGGGACATGCTTTGACGTCAAATGTCGCCGAGGGCACGTCGATTAAGTCCGTTAAAGCGGTTGCACAGTGTTCGTAGTTATCCTTAAGGATGAAACTGAAAGTTCAGAATTTGTAAAAAAAAGAAAAAATATACTACTCGATACCGATTTAATTGATGTATTACAATGTTTGACTCCTACTCTACTGTATTGGATTTTGAATGTATTAGTTATTCTTGTTCAATGCGCAATGTGGGCTTTATCATGTTCACCAAACTTTTTTTTAATGTTCGTCGGATCGACATAGACTACCGTCCTTAAAATACGGACACCAAGGATTAACCCATATTCATCAACAGACAACAGTATGTAAACTTGATCGAGTCCTGTCTCCATATTCAACAACGGACCGCAGTATAAACTTCATTGAGTCCTGTCTCCATATTCAACAACGGACCGCAGTATAAACTTCATTGAGTCCTGTCTCCATATTCAACAACGGACCGCAGTATAAACTTCATTGAGTCCTGTCTCCATATTCAACAACGGACCGCAGTATAAACTTCATTGAGTCCTGTCTCCATATTCAACAACGGACCGCAGTATAAACTTCATTGAGTCCTGTCTCCATATTCAACAACGGACCGCAGTATAAACTTCATTGAGTCCTGTCTCCATATTCAACAACGGACCGCAGTATAAACTTCATTGAGTCCTGTCTCCATATTCAACAACGGACCGCAGTATAAACTTCATTGAGTCCTGTCTCCATATTCAACAACGGACCGCAGTATAAACTTCATTGAGTCCTGTCTCCATATTCAACAACGGACCGCAGTATAAACTTCATTGAGTCCTGTCTCCATATTCAACAACGGACCGCAGTATAAACTTCATTGAGTCCTGTCTCCATATTCAACAACGGACCGCAGTATAAACTTCATTGAGTCCTGTCTCCATATTCAACAACGGACCGCAGTATAAACTTCATTGAGTCCTGTCTCCATATTCAACAACGGACCGCAGTATAAACTTCATTGAGTCCTGTCTCCATATTCAACAACGGACCGCAGTATAAACTTCATTGAGTCCTGTCTCCATATTCAACAACGGACCGCAGTATAAACTTCATTGAGTCCTGTCTCCATATTCAACAACGGACCGCAGTATAAACTTCATTGAGTCCTGTCTCCATATTCAACAACGGACTGCAGTATAAACTTCATTGAGTCCTGCCTCCATATTCAACAACGGACTGCAGTATAAACTTCAAACATTCATGTATCCATAACCAACAACGGAGCAGAGCATAAACTTCAGTGGGATTTGAATATTCAGTGGTTTTGAACTTTTAAGTTGTATTAAATGAATAAATATCATAAATATCGGTGAAAAAATTAGCCCCACCGTTTTTATGTTGAATTGTTACAGCACTTCAACAACATCTGAAGCAAGTGCATACCTTTTAGAAACAGAATAGCAGTCGATGCATATTACCAAAGCGATATTCCCAATTAAGGGTTAATTTTCTCAACGAATATTTATTTACACGGAGGTAAGATACGAGCTGTGACATCAATTTCATCACATGGGTGGAATAAAAGGATATATAAGCAACTTTTTTCACTATTTTTTCAGATGTTCTAATACAATACAACACACTGGCCATGTTCGATCATATTCTTGACACACGTACATAAGCAAGAAATTATACACATTTCTGACAATAAAATAACTATTCATAATGGCAAATCCGTTACGTTTACAAGTAACAGAACCAGTGAGTGGCGTTTCAATCATATTTTACAACAATATCTAATCTATTTGGTATATGATCGGGGGATGGGCTAGATACTTTTTCATCCAATGCTGTGCGCCAGCAGGATCTGGTATACATGTTATGGTGTTTCATTAAAATATTTTATACTTGGGGCCATGTTGTCGACCACAGTTCTGAGTTCTGACTTCCACAATTTCTATATCCATACTAAGTTTTCATAAATTTATCTTTAGTCTATCAAGCGAAACAGTAATCAAAGCACCTGTGCTCAATATTTGATATATGATTTATGCTTATGGATACGCTATAAATAACATATTACCCACTCTATATAATGTTGGGGGGGGAGGAGATTTTTATCGTTTACTGGTGTGTGTTAATCGAACTAGGTCTGCCTTATTTTGGTCAGTCCCATGTGAAAATAAGGCGTCATATAGTGACGTCGTCAAGTTGGCCTTGCTATAGTTTAGTTGTATACCATATCCCAGCGATCGACAAGGGAAAATCTCGATTGTAAACGATAGACGACAATGGGTGGAAAGGCTATATTAGTTCCCGCCAGCTGACATCGGTAAAGACCAGTGTCTTCATCCGGGCTGTGATCAATGAAAAATGTGTTACAGCGCAGATTGCTCAGACATTCATAAGCACAATGTCCCTTCCCTTGTGTGGTCAGATTGTCCAGTATTTCATAAAAAAGGAAATTAGTTCTATGCTTGCGAAAGTCGGCTTGTCTCCGTGTCCCTGAAATATTTAAAACATATATAGTATTTTGCTCCCAGAAGGTTGTTCTTAACACATCTGATGTTATTGACACCGATGTCCCGAGTTACCCGAAAATATCAAAGAGCCACTTGTAAATGTCATTTCTTTGATGATTACAAAAACGTCCGCCCATGCTTCTGCATCTAGGCTACGTGGACGGATTTAATGGGTTAAAGCCTATAATGTTTCACGTAATTATAAAGAAACTAATATGCTAAACAACAGTTTCAACATTTAATCAGAGAACATTTCATATCATTTAATAAGAAATAAATGCAAACTAGTTTGCATCTGGCTCTTCAGCCAGTGGCGAAGGATTACCCTGCAAATGACCTTTGTACTTGAAGGCAATGGGCACTTACATGGTCATGCGAAGGTCACGGGTTAAATTTAACCCCATATGCTGAAAGCGCATGTGCCAATGGAGGGGGGGGGGGTGAAAACAAAACATCACTTTTAGCCCACATCAATATTTCTCCATGAAATAGCCATATAACCTTGAAAATCAGGGTCAAGGTCAATTTTGACATTTGATTTGGCAGTATTGGGTATATTTTGCCTTTAAAAGCCCTTGTGACCTTGAAAAGAAGGTCAATGTCACTGAAACTGGGTCTGTGACATTTTCTTACCATAGGCTACCTATGATAATTATTTCAGATTTTTTGCGAAAAAAAACGCGCCGAAAGAATAATAAAAACTAGACTGCAACTGGCTGAAGCCAGTGGCGGAGGATTCCCCTGCAAAATAGAGGTGGAATGACCTTGAAGAAAAAGGTCAATTGCAAGG